ACCCAGCATTCTTTTTAGAAAATGGGAGAATGTTATGTCCAGGTTTCCCACTCTCATTAAAAGGCCAGGATCTCTAGAAGATCTCTCAAGATATCCCATCAGGTTAAACACTCAAAGAGCCATTTGGACCCGTTTCCCACGGAAAAGAAAACACCAGGAGTCAAAAAGGTCCTAACTGGAAGCCCCCTGTTCAATTCTGGAGCTGACCGGAAGTTGAGTTCCCCCACCAGTGTCTCTCCTCCTAGCGTGGCATCTTTTTTCCTCTATCTGTCATAACCGAAAGCCCTATCAATTGAGGAGACAACTGGAAAACCCTCCCCTTGCCATAGTTTTCTCCTGGCGCACTGTGCTTCTCTCTCCCCCCGGTGACGGAGCCGCAGAAGAGGGAGGAAGGAGCCACATGCGGCTCCAGAGCCGCAGTTTGCTGACCCCTGCCCTAGTTTGTATCAAAGGGAGAGCTGAATCTCTATTGGAACCAGAATCGGACAATTTACTGCAGCCAGTTCACCATGGCCATCTCACCGCAGACAATTCCATGTGGGATAATCCTATGGGATTAAAAAGTTTTCTCCCATTATTTCTATTTTTGTCAATGGAAATAATGTGAAAGAAACAGTGGCGGGTAACATGTATTGCGCTGAGTTATCCTGCGTGGAACTGTCCGCAGCGAGTTGACCCTGGCAAGGTGGCCACAGTGACTTGTCCTAGGCCCATCCAGAAGGTCAGCTGGAGAATGGCTGTTGGTCTTCAGCGCTCAGTGGAGAACCCTTGAATTCCCTTTTGGAGGTCAACCCACTGGCTGGGAACCGTTAGGTTCCTCCAGGAACAGGGCGACCGGGCAAATACATTTTTAGAGGATGAAAATGATCTTCATCTACTCCAGAAACAAACAGCTGAGAGTTGCACAAGACTGCCACAAATGTACAAATGTTGTCTATTAACACAACTCTGCATATTCTGCCCACACCTTCATGGACAACTCTGCACTATGTTTTCCATCTCTGTGTTCTTCCTTACCCTTTCACATGTTGGTTTTTGTCAAGGCAGAACCAAAACCTACTTATCAATGTCAGGTCTGGAATAAATATTCCCTCCCCCCGCCCCAAAAAATTAGAATGTTATCTTTAATTTTTTTAATTTCAATTTTATCTGGAGGTTGTTTTCAAGAAGGGAATGGGCCATTTGTCCAGAAGGATATAGGATCTCCTGCTTTGGGCAGGGAGTTGGACTAGAAGACCTCCAAGGTCCCTTCCAAGTCTATATATTCTATATCAGGAGTGTCAAACTTGATTTCCACCTCAGGGTTGTGTTTGACCTGGGGGGCGGGGGTGGGAGAGCACACGTGCATGTGGCTGGGGGGGCGTGGCCAGCATGACATCACTCATGCATCTATGGTGGCTCAAGTGATCTGCCACCAAAACGGGCTCACGGGCTCTGTTTTTAGCCCTCTGCCAGTGAAAATGGTGCTCGGGTGGGGGCCCGTACGAGCTTCATTTTCACTAGCAGAGGGCTGCAGGAGAGCCAAGGTGGCGCAGTGGTTAGAGTGCTGTAATGCAGCCACTTCAGCTGACTGTTATCTGCAGTTTGGCGGTTCAAATCTCACCGGCTCAGGGTTGAGTCAGCCTTCCATCCTTCCGAGGTGGGTAAAATGAGGACCCGGATTGTTGTTGGGGGCAATATG